AGTCAGTGCTGATGTAGCTCCTCCCTCTGTGAGTCAGTGCTGATGTAGCTCCTCCCTCTGTGAGTCAGTGCTGATGTAGGCTCTTGTTCTTTCAGCAGGTGAGTCCCACCTGCGGCGCAGTGGCACTGACATCATACCGAAGGCTCGGATGAAGACTCTAAAGATGACGGTGGTCATTGTTGTGTCATTCGTTGTGTGCTGGACTCCGTACTACCTGTTGGGTATCTGGTACTGGTTCCAGCCTGACATGCTGAGCGTCACACCTGAGTACATTCACCACGCCCTCTTCGTGTTCGGGAACCTGAACACCTGCTGTGATCCCATCATCTACGGCTTCTACACGCCGTCCTTCAGGGCTGACCTGGCAGCCTGCTGCCACCGGTCCAGGAGCCACACTTCCCCCCACTCTCTGGACCGCCTGTCCGGCAGACAGGGTCCACACAGCGGGGAGCAGGAGGTGCATCCTGCTGTTAACACCCAGGCTGCCACTGACTGACCAATGAAGACTGTTTCCTTCTGACACTGAGGCTGTCGGTCATTCCTCTGTGCTTCAGCAGACACAGTCATGAAGGTGTTTATCTGGGTCCTTATTTTACAAACGTACATTAGCCCAGGTTTTGCTCACATCTGATCTACATGGAGGTAAATAAGTTCAAATCTGTTTACTTGTGGAATGAAACGTTTTCCTGTTTCTCCTGTTGAATGTCCAACAGATCACCTGACGTCAGTGTTCAGGTGAGCAGGGCTTCAGAAGCAGAGCATGAACATCAACATTTATTGGAGAAAAGCTTTTCTCCTGTTTTAAATTATGTTTTCAGTGATCAGCTGAAGCTCAGAGGATGTGTGAGGAGTGACTTACAGCTACTACCACCCAAACTGTCATTACATCACTGACTCAGAGACATGTCTGAGTTTGGAAAGTTGCTCTTCTGTGGCGACCATCTTGAACTGGGTTAAAGTTTATCAGTAAAAGATGCACATCCACCATCTCTCCATCAACTTGTTCATGAGATATTTTACACACACACACACACACACACACACACACACACACACACACACACACACACACACA